GATAATACTCTTTCATGGTAGCAGCTACAACACACTAACAAACTTATTTTTGAATGTAGAACTCAGAGACTGCAGTTATTAAAAATAAGTTTTGGGTCCAAAGTTGTACTACCAGAAAAACTCAAAGCATTCTCAAAATGCTTCCAATTTGACATTTGAATTAATAATGGGATTATAACTGATGTAATGAGGTTAGGTCACATGACCCAAAACTTAAGTACATTACTCTAGTTCTCGGTATTTACTGGTGTGTTTGATGTGCTTGTGTGCCACACTGAAGGACACTAATTTTCCTTGATTAATTACAGTCTGGGTCACCTTGACACAACTTGATTTAATCTTTAATCATAATTAATCTTATCTTAATCTTTAAAAATCTTAATCTTTACAAATCTTACACAGACTGTGCATTTTTGGGGAATTGTCCGGTCTGTTCTCATGCTTTTTACCCTGAGCTTTTTAACTTAAGGCATTTTAACTCCTTGTTGACCTTGCAAGAAGGATTACATATCAATTATTGTACAGGATCCCAAAATGATGCTGCCCTATATAACAAAGTGTTACTAATAAAAATCAAGCTGCTAAATCCAAGTAAATGAAAAAACAAAGGTGTTTATGAACAACACTAACAAAGTAACTGCTACACGTAGGATTAGTAATGAAACCGTTATGCTCATTTATTGATTTTCATTACTACCATTTAGAAAAATGGAAAAGGCGAGGAAGAAAACTTAAGCAGTGATGGCAAAAGATTTAAGAAGCCAAGCCACCAGGAAGATTTAATGGAATTCCTTGTGGCAAGAAGGAAGCTGATTGTGTACTGCTGCCTGTGGCTCGGGGGTTGCTTGGACCCAAGGGAGGTTTGTGGCCTGGCTGCAGTTCACCAGGCTTGTTTGGGGAACGGGTGGTGTGGGTAGGAGAGAGTTCTTGCAAAAAGAGTGTGAAAGAATCATTCTGCTTGCTGGGCTATTAACTAAGGCAGTTGGGCTGGCTTAGCTAAAGTGAAGGCAAAGTGACAGTCAGCAACGAGGGAGCAAATAAACACGACTGTATTGGAATTTAAAAGTAGGGTGTAAGGAAGACACCATGATGTTGGTGTTAATGATTAAACTTGCAGAAACAAAGAAGATAATGCAAATGTTGCAAGAGTTATGTGGTACTTTAGTACTTCATTGTTGATAAAAAGTGTTTTAAACAGATAAATGACAAGTTAAATTGTGACAGAATCACACAATCCTTCTGCCTGAACAGTACAGAATATGGAGGCAGCCAGGTAAAACTTGGCAATGTGTACAGGAGTATTTACTGGAGGAAAGACAAGACTCATGACGGGTCCTTACATGGAAAAGCAAAAAGAGCCAGTTGAATAATAGTTTACTATACCTGATTGAAAGACTGTGTATGAGCGGTAAGATAGAACATAAACATGCAGCTGTAAATGACCTGGAGAACAAAATGTGAGATTTTAAATCAGTATTTCAGATTGTAAAAGTGGATGTTATATGGGCAGCACATTCATACATGTACTGTTTTAAGCCCCAGCTCTAACAAACGATTTAAACAGAATACCACCTTCTACCTCGTTGGCACAGCTTCAGTGACGCTTGAGTCAGGCTCAGGTTCTACACTCAGTGACTACAGTAATTTAAGATACTTTGCTTCCCTCAAGGCCTTCTGGCATTTCTCCCTGCCCGTTGTCTCAGAGCACTCTGTGTCCACAATTATAAAGCCACAATGGCTGGGGGTGTCACTCATTCAAATGGATTCCAGAAGCGACCCAGATGAGGAATCTTCAAAGCTCTCCCTCTCCCCCTATCCAGAAAAAGTGCTGTTACTTTTCTCCAACAGATCAGTGCCCTGATTTTGTTAACAGAACACCGTCATGCACAATTACTCCAATGCAACACGGAAAGCATGATAGTTTGGTTTCATGCATGTACTTCCTGTGGCAGCATTTGTGAGACTCGATGAAATATATGACCTTTTAGAACAACTGACAGATGTGTTGATTATTGTGGCTTTGGAGGTGTTGATGGTTTTGTAGTTGTTGTTCCGGTGAGAACTCATCTGATTTCATGTTTGCTGATTCATAGAAAATTCACTTTTGAATGGTTAGACTGAAAACAGGAATGATAAGGAAATTATTTTGTACTATCATCTTCTTCCAGACTAAGCTATAGTTATTTAAGAACTTTCCTGCATAAATTCCATTGCAGGATGAAATACAGCAAAGAGCAATGCACACTTAATGGAATTTCCTTTTCTTAAAATAAGTAAATTGCAATATTGCGACTTATTCAAAGAAGTGATCTACTTATTGTGCAGTAATCTTTTTACTGAAGAAAGTAGTATTTACAGAAGATGGAGGATGTTTCAAGTATTCTTTTCAGAGCAGATACCTGGGCCTAGTTGTCTACCACAACTGTGTGTGAGTCATGCTGCTGCTCCTGCAGCATCCTGCTGCTAGAGATTCAATTAAATATGACACATCTGTCTTCTGAAATTCCACTTTAAAATTCTTCCACAAATGTCTCTATATACTTAAGATATAATTCCACAGGTTTTCTCATGCTCATCACAGTAGCATTTAAAGTCTTACAAAGGTGCACCTAACAGTCTAAGCAACTAAAACAAAGTTAACACTGTTGAGCTGAAGACATGGCACTTGCTTTTAGTTATGCAGAGACAGTGATATGTACGGCACCACTTAACCTTCCTCCACACAAATGTTAGGGCCAGTCTTAAGACTTCATGCACCATGGGTCTCTTGTCTCTAACAAGGTTTTCCAAGTTGTCATTGTATTGATTTTCTAATGTCCTTTATGTTTACAGCATAGAAACAAAGCTTCTAAAACAATATAAAAAACACTAATAAAAGTCGCATACCAGAGAAGTATGTGTCAATTAATACTTAGTTATTACAGTTAATACAGTAAATCAATAGGTTTAATACATAAAAATAAAACAGTAACAACTCTGCATCACATATAAAATAAATTTTACTTAAATGTGAGATGATAACAAGACATAAAGATACGGTACATTTTTGCTTCATAAACCCAAGTTCATGTCCATAGGGACCCTCTACATTACAGTCAGCTGAAGCTTCAAATTTAAGCCACATATGTATATAGTAGTTCAATGTTGTATTTTTATAGCTAGCTTTACACTCTGCTCAATAAAATAAATGAGATACATCAAGTGACATAGCTGCTACTGGCAATTCAGAAACAATTTTGTGACAAAATGCATCACTCAGTCTATCCATCTATCTGATACCTATTGCAATAACATCCATCAAAATATTACTGACAAATCTCTGTTTCAGAGCTGAAGGAGCAGAATTTCTCTCTCTCCTATGGAAACTCTTACTGAAAAATTCTTATGTCTACGCTCTGCATCAAAGTGACAATCAGGAAATTCCATGATGTGGCTACAGATTGTTATTGTGTGTACTGTAGTTTTCTGTACATAGGAATGTTCCCGTTCATCACCTAGTAAGACTGGAGGATAGTGTAAGCTCTTTTTGACTGTTTAAGTAAAAAGTCTTTCAAGTAAACTCGCAGTTTTGTTATTACTATCACTTATTTGCATCCCTACTTCACTGATTAACCAATAATTTTGTATTTCTAGCTCTGATGTTTACATGTCAACTGACTTAGCCTTTTTACACTTATGATACAAAAGTGCCGATTTGGAAACCTGCAGTGTTTGGAAGCTGCTTGCCCGTGAAGTGAAGGAAGTAAACAGGTCCATCCCTTCAGCCTAAAAGATGAACCACTTGACCATGGACTGTGCTGGGTCAACAAAATAATTTGTCTCAGTTATCACTGAAACAAAATGAAGTTATCAATAATGCCTATTGCATAAAAACCATGGTGCAAGTCTAGTGACTGAGTCAAAATTCTATTTGGGGAAGGGGCGGGGTGAGCTATTCTGTTTCTCCATTCTTTTTACCCAATGTCTGAATAAACCCGACGCCCGTTAGCAGTAGAGACCTGGATTCTTACGCAACCGCATCCTGCTGCCATCTCAGGTGCACCCAGGCACACCCTGGCCGGCTGCCAGCCCCTGGCACGCATCTTCCCGCCGCTGACAGCATTCTGCAGAGGAATGGAGAGATCCCCGACTCTACCCCATCACCTAGCGACTTGTGGCAGCCCAGGTCCGTTGCTGAAGCAAGAAAGAACAGCTACTGGACGCGAAGCCTGCGTTACCCAATTTTAAATTACCTTTTTCGTGCAATGAGCTTGAGAAAAAAACTACTAATGGAGCATCTGAACGCAGGAATTCCGCCAATTCAAAAGCGCAACTGTAGCCACTGTTGGGTCTGCTAGCCCCGACTCCCATTTCCAACTGTTCTGCGCCAAAAGCCGCCAAAGTACGACGAGATCCGCCCGCGGCTGTGCTCGGCAGAGGGGCAGGACTGGCTGTCCAGAGGAACAGAGGGGCAGCCCCACCGCTGAAACGGGGACACGGGCGGCGTAAACTGAGCTGCCGAGTGGCCCGGCGGTGCACCAGCCCCCCACCCCCCCACACCCCCGCAGGACACGGCCCTTCCCCGTCCTGTCCCGCAAAAGGCCGAGGTGGCGGTGCTCGACAAAAGTATCCCCCGCCTCACGGGCGGGCGCCACCAAGTCGCCTTGGCGAGCGGGGGGCAGCTGAGGGGGCCTCACCCGCTCCCCTTCTCCTCAACGGCCCTTCCCGCCCCGCCCTCGCGAGGCGGCCGCGGAGACCCCGGCCACGCCGCCTCGCGCCGCTCCACCCCCCCCCCCCGCCCCGGTGATACAACCGCTCGCCCGCGCACCAGCCAATCGGGAGAGCGGGTTTGCTTCTCCCTGGCTTCCCATTGGCCCGCGGTGCAAGGGCGGTACGCGCGCGCCGCCGCCGCAGTATAGCGGCGCTCCGCCCGCCCCCCCCCGCCCCCCCCGTTCCCCCTCCGCCGCGGGCGCGCGCGCACGCCGCAGTTCTGCAGTCCGCTGCCGCCGCGCCGGGGCTCGCGCACGCTCCAACCGCCGCAGTAGCCGGGTCCGGGCGGGGCGGGGCCGCGCGCTCCCCGCCGGCTGCGGGAGGAGGCGGGAGCGGCGGGGCCGGGCCGGGCGCGGAGGTGACTGCCCGCCGGCAGCGGGAATGCTGCCGCCGCCGCCGCCGCTGCCTCCGCCGCCGCTGCTTGTGAGGGGAGAGCGGGCGGCCGCGGCGCTCGGCGGCATGAGCAGCGGCGGGAACGTTCCCCCAGCCCCGCGGCAGCGCTAGGAGACACCCCCCCCCCCCCCCCCCCCCCACCGCTCGCCACCTGCGAGCCGCGGCGGCGGGGTCAGCCCGCCCCGGGGCGCGGCGCGAAGGAAGGCAGCGCCTCCAACACCCCCCCCCCCCCCCCACACACACACACCGCTCCCGCCGCCCGTCCGCCTCCTCCTCGAGCCGCGGCGCTGCCCCTGCGGCCCCCAGCGACCCGCCCGCTCCCGGGGAGGCGGCGGGACGGAGGGAGGGGGCAAGCGGAGCCCCCTCGTCACCTTCTCGCCGCCCGATCCATGGGAGGAGCGGGCCGCCGGGACTGAGCGGAGCGGCCGGCCGCCGGCGCCGAGGGAGGATGCCACTGCTCCGGAAGGTGCTGCGGGTCTCCAATCGCTCCATGCTCGCCTTCATCTTCTTTTTCTCCTTCTCCTCCTCCTGCCTCTACTTCATCTATGTGGCCCCCGGGATCGGTGAGTCGGGAGCCGCCCCCTCGGTGGGGGGGGGTGTTGTGTGTGTGGGGGGGGTGAGGGCGAGGGTGGGCGGTGGGCGCTGCAGGGCGGCCTCGGCGGTGCGCACCCCCCTTCCCCGGCCGGGCACCGCGGCGGGGAGGGCACGGACGGCGGCGGGAGACGGGCGCCTCGGGTGTCAAAACGCCTTCCTTCCCACCCCCCACCCCCCCGCCCCTTGCCGAGGGGCGGGGGTCGTGTCGGCTGACAAACGTGTGTTAATCTCGCATCTTTGTTCTGTTGGTGTCAAACGCTCTAGAAGATTCATCTGCCGTCGCGAGGTAGGTAAATGCTGTTCCTGCTTCCCAGGCTGGAAAAGTGAGGCAAAAAAAAAGCGCATCTCGTCGCTTCACCGCGTTACAAATTAATGGTAGAAACCAGCAAAAGAACTACAAAACTGCCCGCTGGAGTCACTTGAATGCATTCGTGTTTTAAATCGCTAGTAACTGCCTTAATAATAAAGCACGTGTGAACAGAAATGAAGAGCCAGTTTGAATATTCGTTGTTCACTTCTGTCAGTGGGATCTCTCTTCACAGGTTTTACAGTTGGTTAACTTCCTCCTCTGAAAGAACCACTTCAGAGACAACGGTTTATTTAAGAAAAGCTACGTAAAATAACCGTTTTCTCACTGGGTGATCCTTTCAGAACTGGTTGGCCTTACCCCTGAGCTAAGGCAAGCGTTATCCTGTATGGTGCTCTGAGGTGTTTCACTATGTTGGGTGTCTATTGGCTAGACAATCTTTTCCTTTTTTTTTTTTTTTCTTTTTTTTTTCCTCCAGGGAGCATTAACACTTTGTCCAGCACTTCTCCTTGCTTATCAGGTGCTACCTAAATACTTGTGAAACCATCTTGCTCTTTGTCCTCAGTGGTTAAAACTCCTCTCTGCAGAATGTCCACATTGATTTGACCACTGAATCTTCAGGAATTGTTTCCCGTTGACTAGTGTCTTTATGCTGTTTGGTTTCCTCTTGCTCACAATCTTCTAGTTAGCTTGTAAGCCCTTTCAGAGTGCAATTACTTCTCCCATACTTACAGCACTTAATACAATATTGAAATGACTATTGTAAATATATTATTATATAAATAACTTAAAAATAAATATATATAAAAACATTAAAGAATATGTCATTGATTGGAGTTTTTGAGTTTCTTGTCTGTCATTGTGTCCCCCCTGAAAGGGATGTAATTTAGTTTAAGTGAGGGAACGGTGCTGCTAGCGTACATTTAGACATCTTAGCTCTATGAGATGCCAGTGCAATACCAGACTAGACTTTAATTACAAGCAGTTGGTGTATGACTTAAAAGCAAAGTGCAGTTTCTACATCTTTAACACCTTACATAATGTATGCAGCTGGAGTTTTACTTCATTATTTAAATGTTTTTTTCTTCAATGGGTATCTTCTAAATATACCCTCTTCTTGCTAAACAAGGTTTATGCAGTACCTTGTTGAGAATTGGAGCCTCTAGTGATGAGACTTTTCTTTCCTGACTTCAACTTGTGGCTCAGCTATTGGGATTTACGTGTTTGTTCAGTTTTCTTTGTACGAGGAAAAAAATCAACACTGTCAACTAGGAGAATTCTTGGCGTAGGTTACTTAGGCCTGATCAACCTTAAGGAAAAAAAAATCAAACCGGTCTCTTTCTACTCAGACATATATACTGCAGTTAGCCCTTTCAAGCTGTGGTTAATGATAGAAAAACCTTCAGTAGTTACACGAGTTTATGAAATTACAGTTCTTTGCGGCTACTGATCAATCATGTGCTGCCCAAACTCTGTATGCAGTTGTATCGTGAACTCATCCAGCTTGAAGAAATCAAAACCGTACAATATTGGAGTTATTCTTTCTCTGTGCTACTTCATGGATTCTGTTTGGAATGCTGCCATGCTGTGCTGGTCTTACTGGGGGGGGGGAGGGGGAAATATAGAAAATGATAAAGGAAGGGCCAGTAGGAAAGTTTTACAGTGTAATCTTAGCCTGTCAGCTTGCAGATGCGATGCTGATTTCCCAGGAATTTGCTCCTGGAAGTGTTACTGTGTAGAGCGGAGAGAAAGAAGGTCAAATATTAGCTTAAAACCAACAGGCATCCTGGCAGTATTCTTGGGGAAAATGTGAGTTCTAAGAATGGAAGATTTTAAAAAACCCCAGTAACATCTGCACCCCCCCCCCCCAAAATCTATAGGCAGATGATTCATCTAATAATCCTATGCTGTATGCTCATGCCATTTGCATATTGCAATAGAAGGATAGAGTAGCTCAGTGTGCTTGTTCCTTTCCACTGAGTGTGATGAAGTGGGTATATCTAAGTCAAAGCTGATTGTGTGAAGAGGAGGAGGATTGCTTATGGAAGTTCAGCCACCTTACCTGTTAGCAGCTTTTAATGAAATAAATTCTGCAGTTGAGTCATAAATGTTTGGGATCTGTCATAATTTATGTGTAAAGGTATGTTTTAGTGAATTTATTCACTAAATGTTCATCAGAACATTTCCTTCCTCAACAAGCTACAGGGCACAGTGGCAGAGAGAAGGAAATTCTAAGTCTGTTGTAGGGAACTGGAGCTGCTCCTTAGCCGTTTCTTTTCCTGATGGTCAGAGCAACTGAGAAGACACGTTGGAGTCCCAAATGTTTTATGGAGCAGCAGTGTACTGGAAGGTGGAAGGGAAAAAATAAGTGGGTTATGTAGCAGAATGGCTTCTTGAGATGTCAAAGCTGAGTGAAAATTTGAATTCTTATGGGCTAGTAGAATGGAATTCCCTCCTAGCAAGCAGTTTATAGCTGATCAAAAGGAGGAGATGTCTGCACAAGTAAGCCCTTAGCACTGGGAGAATTCTCAAAGAGGTCATTATCACATTGCCTCTGTGCTTCCTGCTAACTAGAAAATAGTTACTGCTTTTTTTTTTTTTTTTTTTTTTTTTTAGCAAAATTGCAGATTTTGTGACAAATGCAGTTTGGGTCAATTTGGAATACTGGCAATTGGTTTAGAGGGAAAAGTCTTAATTACTTATTTTAAGCTCTTTATTTCTGTCTAATATTTAAATGTTTTTATTTGCACAATAATTAATTGTGTATCTTTTTGGTTTTGTAGAGGTCTCACAGAATGTTAATTCTTTAGGAAATAGAAACTTTTGTTGTCCCGGTTATTTCAGAATAAGGAAAGGAAAAGTATTTAAATGTCAGGTTTTCAGACACTGTTCTGTGTTTTGAAACTAAGACATAATTGTCCACATAATATAAAAATACAAGGTTTATATGGTTAAGAAGAATTAATACACTGCTGGGTTTGTTCATGTGTCTCCTTTCCCCTCTTCTGTAAGAACAGAAGATGGGATGAGGTAGAGATGGTTGCAACTCTACTGCAGTAACCCAGTGGTCTTGTGATAGTCAGAGGAGCTCAAACGTGGAAGCAGATTGATTTCTAACTGCTGATTAGAGAAGACAACTATTTTTCTGGTTTTCATTTTCCCTGTTTGAGTGGATATTTTGAAGCAAAACCTAGAAGGATAGGATGGCAAGGTAAATGGTATAAAACATTTAAAATGTTTAAAATTTAAAAATCTCATTTAAATGTTTAAATTATACTATGTGATAATCTGCTTCCATCAAATGCTTGAGACTATCAGGTGCTACCTCTCCAGAAAGACCACGTTTCTGACAGTACTTCATCTGGTGCTTCTTCTCTGGTACATGAAATGAAAAGATAGAAACTGAAGTTGCTGGTTTTGAGTTAGTCAGTGAAGATGGCCTGTGATTCTGAAACTTCACTGGGAGTTACAAATAGCTGTGTATGCTGCAGTTAGAGACTGAAGAAGCTAGCTGAGAGCAGGAGTCTTTGGCAACGATACATCCTTTTTCAATGCTGTAGATAACAGTACTGATAAAAGGGACTTGAATAGTTGATGTCTGGTGCTGACAGCTATTCGGAACACATACTCAGGTTGAAGTTTATGTCATTGAAAAGATCAAGAGATGAGGAGAATAAGGCAAAGTAGCAAGGCAGTGGTGAACAAGAGAGAGCATTTGCTGATCTTATTTCATTGTCAAGCCAATCTTGAGTATTGTCAGGGATTTTTTTTCCTTTGCTTTCCCCTTTTTCTATCAGCATCATAACTGAAATCACATTAGACAACATAACTGATCTCAGAATATTATCTCTTACTCATCTCTGGGTTATTCCTTTCTGTCTGACTTCAACAGAGAACCTTCCTTTACCAGGGAAGGATACATTAGTGCTCTCAATACTGTAGTTGGTTGCAGTCTAACTTGGCCAGCTTGGACACAATGACCTTTGTAGTTCTCATAAGAACTGGTTATGGAACAGTGCAGCAATTAGGGAAGAAGCAGTCTTTCTTTGACATCAGCAACTAGAAATCCAGCATGATGGAATGAGATTGAGGAGGTAAAAAAACACTACTGTTTTCTCTCTTCTGGTCTTCTGCTTCTCTTATTAAAACTTCAGTACTTCTCTGGCAATCCTAACCAAAGGGCAGCTGTACAGGCTAGGTGGATCTTGGAAACATTGCAAATTGATATCAATCTATTTCCTATTCTGTTATTAGGAAATAATTTTCCTAATAGGAAAGAGTGATGTGACTTCTTTTTGAACTTGTGCAGAAATGGAGGAGAGAGCTGAAGCTTAGCAAGATAAATGATTGCAAGTGCTTCCAGGTGCTGAGCCCATAGATATGGAGACACTCTTTGTGCTAATATTTTTTGTTCCTGGCATGTCTGACAGTTGTGGTATTTCTAGAGACTTGCTGTTTGATCATAAAGTAGTTTAGATTGGCAGGGACCTCTGGAAGTCATCTGATCCAACCTCCTGCTGAAAGCAGATCCTATTAGATCAGATTGCTCAGGGCCATGTCCAGTTGAGTTTTGAGTAAGTCCAGAGATGGAGACTCCGCAGTCTCTCTGAAAAGCCTGTTCCAGTGTTTGACAACTGTGAGAAAACTGTAATATGTAATCAT